GAACTTTTTATATAATTCAATTATTTATTCACGTGTATGATAATAATTAACATTAATTTATATATATATATATATATATATATATATCATACTATAATTCAATCAATTAATTCTTCAAGTTTACGCATGTACACTTTATATATTTTGAGGGCTGTTCAATTACTCTAGAAATATTATAATTCAATTATTTATGTATGTACATGTATACAAATTAACATTTATTTATGGATATATTAAATATAAAATTAATTCATCAAGTTCATATACAGATGTTTTGAGAGTTATTCAATTATTCTATGAGTAAATAAATTATTCAAATTCATAAAAATGTATTTATTTTCAAGATTATTCATTTTATCATAAATTATTCTAGAAGTATATAAATTATTAAAGATCATATAATTTAAGAGCTATTCAATTATTATAAGAGTAGATAAATTATTCATGTACACTTATTTATTTCAATATTATTCATTTAATCTATGATATAACGTCATTTGTCTGAATTTATATAAATTATTCTTTTTCTATATTCATCGATTCAAATTAATTAAATTTCATGTTGGTTCATGTACACACATTTGTTTAAATGTATATAAATTATTATTTTTCTATATCTATTAATTCAAATTAATTAAATTTCGTGTTGGTTCACTTACACCCTCTTTGTTTAAATGCATATAAATTTTTTTTTTTTATATATATATTCATTGATTCAAAAATTTACAATGGTAATTCAAAAATTTAACCCATCAATTCTATAATAAAACACTCTTTCACGCATGTTTGATTAGGGTATCCTGCACATTTTAATAAGTCAGGGTAGGGTTAGGGGTTTTTTTAAAATCAATTTCGAAAAAATAAATAAAAAGTAGAATTCTCAATAATGCCCTGGTGTCAATGCGTCGAGCCAGGTCAACTCAAAAAAACATGACATAAACTTAGGACTTTCATTGCGTTTTTGCTTATTTATTAATATTAAATAAAATTCGTGAAGTTTTCTCACACATTCATTAATTCATCTCAATGTTATGCATGAATTAACGAGAATTCGACTTGTGTTACTCGTTCTCACACCTTCTACCTTCCTTAGACTACACTTGAATAAAATAAAGTCGTAAAAGTGCGATGACCTCAGTGCTGCTTGTGTTAACCATCTGTTTGAGCCACGTTATTATTTTCATTCTGATTCTTATACTCATTTTTAACCACACATTCTTTAATAAAATAATATTTTTCATCACATCAATAATTTTTTCTTCTTTTTCAGCCGCACATTCTCCATCAATCTGTTATTCCAAAATACATTTTTTCAAAATAATGTGATTCAAACACAGTCTAAATCTCACTTTACATGTGTTGACTATAAAGCCACTTTACATGTGTTGACTATAAAGGTTGGGCATGTCACGTGCCATTATAGCTGTAGCAAGTAACTTTGATTGAAGCAAGTGGACTCAGAAAATTCAGAGCATGTCTTGTTTCAATGCATTTACTAGGCAACTTGGGTACATTTCTCATTCCTCGTACAACCCCCACACACCAATGCTAAACTATGAGACAGATTCATGAATGCACAAGAGTCTACCTAGTGTCATATAAACTTCACGTGCATGTATTGATATTTCTTTAATTTTAGTAGTTGTGAAATTTATGTGTGAATCTAGCATAAATTTAAATATTGTGTTTCGATCTTATACTGTAGTGCAGGGGCGGACCAAATGGGGGTTTTGGGGGTCGTGTGACCCCCCAACTTTTGAGATTTTTTTTTTTGTTCGATAAAGTCATATTTGATATCAATTGAAATTTAAATTTTAATCTAAGCAAGAATCCTGCCCTGAGAAATTCTAAGCGATTGTTAACAATTAATTTTAATAACATAATTCATGGAATCCATAATTGTTTAACTTTTATCAAAATTTACTAAAAATTTGATTTTAATCTCCACCAAATAGGGGCAAAATCACAATAACTTTGAATTTTTCTCTTTTCTCCTACTCTCTTTTGCTTTTTTGTTCATGCCTTTTAATAA